TATTGCTGTTTGTAGACCTCAGGACCACTTGGGTTTTTGAAATCACTTATTTGCCAAATTTCTACCTCTTTTAACGTGAGATAATACACTAGTTTGTGAAAATCATAATGGATGTTGTATGCATCTTTATATATGTACATGCTTAAGGATATGGCCAATCTACAGAATTGCAGTGTGGTAATGAGACAGCTGATCAGCCTGTGATTAAATGTTGCAGCAAAAGTTGTAGCACAGATGCAGCAACATGCCATCTGAGGCTTGAGGACTGAGCCAAGACAAAAACATCATGAAATCCAAAGTGATGAAGCACAAAAATCTGCAACAACCCTGAGGTATAGGCTGCAGTTATACCACCTAAGTGACAGTGAGTAGGAAACTTGGTGGAGATCTGGGAGAAATGAATACCAGGGTGAATACAAGCTAACAATACCCTCCCATTGCAAATATGGCAAAGCATGTACTAGATCACATTCAGAGATGAGTTTCCAGCACGTTCAAAGAAACTGTTATGCTCTTCTACTATGCACATCTGGAAACCTCTGTGTGGTTTTGTGCCCCTCAGTTCAGGTAGGGGATGGAGAAACTACATAGGGTCCAGGGGCAGGAGATCAAGTGGCCAAGGCTCTAGAGCACAGCTCTAGTGAGGAGATGCTAAGAGAGCAGGCTTTAGTCTGATACAGAAGAGGCTAATGGGTTATCTTTTAACAGCTTAAATCTACCCAAAGAGCAATTACAAAGATGACAAAGCCTATCTCTTCTCTGTAATGCCAAATCATGGTTTTGTACAAGTTCTAAATGCAGCTATTATTCTTTCTGAAGCTTTTTACCAAGAATTATCTTCATTAATCCAAACCAAAATCCAGTCAATCCATTTTAAGCACTTTTCCCACTTGGGCGACCTGGGATGGAATCCACTTATTAGATGCTTTCTCTTTTCTTCCTCTATTTTTATTTGGATGGAAATCAAAATATTCATAGAAGTTATCTAAGAGTACAGTTTTGAAAGTGGGGATGAAAGTGTTCAGACACTCATCTGAACACGAGTGTGACATTATAGATTTTTAAAAAAGAGATATATGGAAAAGCAAAGAAGTAAAATGAAAAAATATAATTGCTTGGGAAATTATAGGAAGTCTGATTGTTTTGTTGTTGTTTTAACAAGTCAGGGTGGTATTACTTTTAGTAAAGTTTCTGAAATGTAGTTTTGGAAATTGATCAAAACTCACCAAACAGAAGGTTTCCTTTCCCTTTGCTGAATTGAATCTTCTGTCAGTTTGGCATTATTTCTTACTGGCTAGAAATGTTACTGTGATTAGTGGGATATACAGTTCAGAAAAATCATATGTCCTTTCTTTATGATTTAGACTTCCTGGCAGATGGACTCATTAGCAATACTTCCTGATGTGTCACATCAGTTCGACTTACTGGCCTTGAGGATGCAGTCAAGATCTCAGAGGAAGGAAGGCTGTAGTAATAGCAAGAACATCTCTCATAAGACTGCACTGCAGCTTTGGTGACCATAGTGACTATAGATGTTTCAGAAAAAGGTTTGATATAACCCCACAAAGAAAACAAAATATTTCAGAATGGATGTGCCAGAAAAAAAGTGTGATTTAGCCCTGGCAAAGAAAAACAAAATTCAGAATCAGACATCCTTGTGGGTGCCTTCCAACTCAGGATATTCTGTGATTCTATGAAACTTGCATGGGGCCCATTTTGTCAGTGCCCTGAGAGCACCACCAGGCCTGACCCTCCTTCAGCAACTGCCTGGATTCCCCCCATGGCCCAAGTGCCCATCTCAGCTCCTGGCACCATCATTCCCTACCCTAGCAATGCTGCAGGCTGTCTCATAAATGTCCCTTGCCCAACCTTTGCACCAGTCCTCTTGGCACCATGTTGTGGTGTTGTCACCTGTCATACCACCAGCCCCATCTCCCAGACCAGAACCCCTGGATTTGCACTGGCTCTTCAGGAGCGGTGATGGCCTTTCTGCCCCTGGCTCTGGGAAACATCAACAAGAGCACAGCTGGTGTGGGGCCACTCAGGTCTCCCAGGCCCATGGGTGTCCCGTTGGGTGCTTCTGCTCCTGACCGTGTTGGCTGCAGTACTGCGACAGAGGGTTGTGCTCCGACACCAACACACCATCTCGTGGCTACAGAATCTGATAAATAAATGTTATTACGACCTGTACAGACGGCACAGCAGCAGCCCTCTGCTGGGACATCAGGTGTCGTTGCCAATCCAGCTTTTCAGGTCGGGACAGCACGTAACTCACTGCCACCCGCCCGTCATCAGCATTACGTGCTTCCTCCTGCAGGACTGGTTAAATATTAACACCACAATATGCATATCGGGGCGGGCATGAGGGAAGACGCAGCCCTCACCTTATCTACCGTGGGGACAATGTCTCACCAAAGCCCAGCCACGCAATCACGGGATCACAAGGGCGCTCACCCCACGGCACGGAGCAGGGAGAGGCAGCGGTTGGGCCTGGGGAAGGCTTCTTCCGGGAGAGAAGGTGAGGGCTCACCAACGGAGTGCTGCTTGTGTGTGACAGAGAGTGGGTGGAAAAACGCATTTAGGCACCCAGGGGAAGCGATCCTTGCTATCCTGCAGAGCTGCGTTGCCTGGCAGAGGGAGCGCTGGGGGAAACACAGCTCCCTGTGTTTCTTCCTCTCCTTGGCTCCTGCTTCAGCTGGGAGGCGGTTGGCTGTCGTGCATTTAGGGTGATATTGTCCTCTTCATCAGGTGTGGGTGCAGACAGAATTGGACTAGGGTCAAGAGCAGGGGCTGGGAGCAGAGCCTGCAGCTGCCCCACAAAGCCAGCAATGCCAACTGTTTGTTTACAAGTGACATTACAACCATGTCTGCCTGCTTTAGGGACGTGCTGGGTCTTGGGGTGCTCTCTGTACCGGCAGATCCCTCCTGGGATGTTAACTTCCTGGAAAAGGACACGTTACTGACGTCCGTGTTTGCTTCCTGGTGCTACATTCAGAGAGTTTCAGTTAAGGCCACATATAAAGCTAATGCTGACAGCTACCAGGTGTGTACGTGTGTGCTACAGGCTAAAGCAGAGAGGGAAGGGAGACGACTCTTCAGCCCTCCCCTCAGCTACCTGCACGAGCCTTCGAGTGAGCACGTAGCCAAGGAAACACAAATCTTTCAGACTACCTCAGGCATGCCCAAATCAACCTGCAAACTACCCCCCTCCCAACACACAGATGGAGAAATCATCACACAGACTCAGCTTAAAATGTTGATTAATTGACAGGGCTGCCCTTCTAAGTTTATCAAGCAAATTGAAAGCTTGCAAAATGGGGAAAAGCAGAGCAGACTGCCAGCTGATCACATCACAGTTGCTGCGCTCAGCTCGACAAGATCCCTCCTGTTCAAAGCACTGATTGGTGAGTGGAGCTGCAGGATAATAGCTTGGCACCACAATCAAGCACACCTGGCTAGAGAACAACAAGGGTTTTGTTGGTGATGTGGAGCCCATGGCAGCATGCCAGCACCTCCTGTGAGAATTCTCCCTGTTCCAAGTGCTGCTGCTGATCTCCTCTTGCTGTCCTTCCATGTTTGCTTTTACAAAAGTACTGCTGGAAATTAAGGCAGGGTTGTAGAATGGTGAAATCAGATGCTTGCTTGAGTCTAGCAAGACAGCTGGGCCAAGACTCCTGAGGTTTGGCCCTTGGTACAGTTTTGGTTTAAGCAAGAGGGTGGTTAAAAAGCACACTTCTCGCAGGAAACTCAGGGTATTTGTATGATGATACTAATATTTATGCATGGCCACAAAGAACACTTCTGAAACCAAAAATACTTTCCTGACAAGAAAGAAGTGCTCGCCACAAGACCACAGCCTCTGGGCTGCATCCCTCTCATGAAGGAAAACTCAAATTTCCCAGATGAGAAGTTTGTAAACCGAGAAGTGCAGTCAAACATCCTCCCATGTGTTTTGAGAGGGAAGAGAGCAATCATAGAATGGCTGGTGTTGGAAGAGACCTCAAAGATCATCAAGTTCCAACGCCCTGCTGCAGGCAAGGTTGCTGATGGGAATGTGATTGTTTAGTCTGGAGAAGAGGAGGCTCAGGGAAAACCCCATCACTCTCTACAACCACCTTAAAGGAGAGGCTAGGATATTTAGAAAAATTTTTCTCAGCAAGAGCGCCGAGGCAGTGGCACAGGCTGCCCAGGGAGGTGGTGCAGTCACCGTCCCTGGAGCTGTTCAAGAGTCGTGTGGATGTGGCACTGAGGGACGTGGGCAGTGGGCATGGTGAAGATGGGCTGGTGGTTGGACTGGGTCATCTCTGATGTCTTTTCCAACCTTAATAATTCTGTGATCCTATGATTTATTTTGGAGCATAAGATAATCTCTCAGATTTAGAGAAATAGTGCTCAGCTGGTACCTGGGAAGAGGTTTGGTATTTCCCTGGGCTGGCTCTGGGTGAGGTGGCTAGGGGTGAGCAGGATTGCAGTGGTGATGCTGGTGCTAGGCTGCACCTGTGAATTTATGAATAGGAATCCTAATTTGGGGCTAACATACATGGAAAAGCAATGAAACGTTTTTGGGGATGTAACAATGCACTGGGACATGTTCCCATTTTCCCTCCTGAAGGCTGTCCTGTTTCTTGGAGGAAAACAGTTCCTGACATACAAGTCAGCTCCTCTGCAACCCCAAAGACCAGCTAGGTCCCCATGTGAGGCTCTGTCTGACAAGCAAGTGATAGAGCACAGAGCTCATTACTTGGCCAGGACACTGCCGGTGGCACAGGCAGGGCACCCTCCATATGCATGTGATTACGGGCAGCTAAAATAATTATTTTTTCCAGCTGCTCATAATTAACTTTAATGTGCAGACAGGGCTCCCCCAACACAATTGATCCTGAAGCAGTAGTGTTACGATAGACAAGATGGACTGAGGGATGCAAGGTCTGGAGGGGAAGTTTTCTCTGGTGAAGAAAATTACGTGTGCTGAAAGCTCAGTTATTTCTCTTCAGACAGTTGTTCTAAGAGAAGGTACTGCTTTTCCTTCAACCCTTGCCTTATTTAATCATCACTCTTTGTTTGCGTTACAGGTTACATAAGGTTACACTTAATCACAAGACGCAGAGCAACAACTTGTTACCAAGTTTCTCCGTAAGTTCTGTCCTTCAGCTTCTTCTCAAGCATTCAGTGGCTGCTGTGGCTTCCTGCCTTAGGGACCAGGAGAGAATGCTCCAATGGAGAGGTTCCAGAAGTTCATTTTACTTCCTTTCATCTTAGCTGCCTCACTCACAGGTAGGACACGTTCATAAACTAGGTGATGAGCCACTGTGGACAAAATGTGTGAGCTAATTTTAAAGCTATGTAAATGGCAGTTACCAGCAATATCAGGCTGAAGAGTAAATCCCACAAGGGAATTATTGAAAGTGTTTAAAATGGATAAGTTTTCATTTCAAATCTGTATGACCTAATGGCTTAGAGTGGTCTTCAATATGCAGGATGAGCAGTTGAGGGGTGGGGAGGAGGCTGCCCTCTCACTGCCTCTGAGCAGAGATTTCCCCATTTCATTGCACCTACTCCTTACCCTCATCCTTACCACCCTGTCTATTCAGGTGTGCTCTTGAAGGTATAGCCACAAAGAGCTCAATAACAGCTTATTTTGCTTCCAGAAATATGTATAAATTATCACTTTTTTAGTTTGCCTCCAATTTACATTTTGCATGCCCGAGTCTCAAAGTGAATACGGATAGAAGGCAGAACCTTAATGAAAATGACAATTAGGTGACTAGTCGGGTATCAGAGATGGTGCTGATTTGTTTATTGTCATTTAGTTGTGGTTCTAAGAGGCTCTGAAAGGATGATCTGCAGTGGGATGAGAGGGAAGGTATATTGGCTTAATAACTAATAAAAGGAAACGCAATACAGCAAAATACAGTGAGTTTATCGGGCAGAGTGGTGTTCCCAGTAGAGTTATACAGGGATATGTGGTGTTCAACAAACTGCTAAACAACTCATGAAGAGCAGTGTGAGCTGTCAGGTGGCAGACTGTGCAGGTGGTGCGGAATTACTTAGGACAGCCAAAGGCGAGAAGAGACTATGAAGGTTTGCCAGAAAATGTCGCGATGCCAAGTGAATCAGTAATAAAAAGCAGAAAATATTCAGCGCTAAGCATCATTTAAATGAAGATGAAGAGTAGATATCTTCGGGAAGAGAATAAGTTGCTGAGAAAGAGAGGGAATTTCAGCACTTAGTGTCTTCAACTGGGGAAATGTGATGGCATTACATAAATCCACAGAAGGCTTATGTCTCAAATACTGAATGTTGAGTTGTTCCTTCCATTTCGAAGAGAACAAACTATGTCTGAGTTATTAATTGTGCCAGAGGTGTTATGAGGAATGAGAAGATGATTTTGGCATTTTTTTTCTGCCTGTAGGAAAAAAAAGTAGTAAAGATATTTTAAAATACTTATCTGCTGGTGAAGAGTGGAATGGCTATTTAGAGTTTTACTAAGTTTTACTTGTGGCCACTAGTTTTATCAGAAAGTGGATGTAAATCAAACCAAAGTGTGTGCTTTTCTTGACAGGATGTCATCAAATAGTAAAACTCATGATCACTACATGTGGGGGATACCAAATAATAAATAGACTGGAAAAAAAGCTATATGCAGGCATAATACAGGTGCATGTGCAATTGTTGGTTCAGGCAGTCCTCAAGTCTCATATTTTGAGACACTGAGTTGTTATAGTAAGGAGGCCTCAATTTTACTTGTTTTCTTTCTTGCATTGTCTTCACACACATCCAGAACAGGAGTTTTGTGAGTTTTTGTGGACATTTATTTCACTGATGCTTTTAATCAAGCTCAATTGCAATATGTTTTACTGCCCCAGCTTCAAGCTGTGTTGGGGCAGCAGGCATTGCTCACTGTGTGATGCAGCCAAGGGGACACAGCCCACAGTGGGCAGAAAAAGTGTACTGGGGAGAGAAAAAAGTGCTATTCTTGGAAGAGATGTCACTGCACGTGGGCTGCTAAGACAGCTGCATGGCAGTTTGAGTATTGCCCTGAGTGGGCACCGTGCACCTTTTGGCAGCAATAGCACCGCAGGGCTGACATAGTGCGGGATCCCAGCTTGCTGCCAGTGTGTTGCAGGTGCTGCTGAGGTGCTCCCAGTCTGGGAACCCTCATGCCACAATACTGGAGGAGGAGAGGTCCAGCAGCAGGGATAGAAGAAGTTGTAATAGGCCTCTTTCAAATAGCGTCAGACAAAAGATGAGAAGATGCAACTGGGGGATGTGCAGGACTTTGTGTAGGTGGGAAGAATGTCACTGAGTACCGGTAGACTGGTGTTGCTTGACTGAAATGTCATATATAAGCATTTTAGAGTATTATTAAATCAGAAAATAAGCTTGTCCTTCTCTGCAGGGTTTGACAAGTTCTAACTTAATTTGGTTTTCAAAAAGCTCAGACTCAGGGTGCTGATTTGTGAAATAAAGTTGAGATGCTCTGAAGAAAAATCTCACTAAGTCCAAAACCATTTATTGCAGAGCTGGGCAAAGCTGTGAGTTAAGGGAGGCAGAAAACAAGGTGCAATGAGCATGGGACTAAAGAAGGAAAGAAAAAGGAATTTTAAACAAACTGGAAGGAAAAAAGTAGAAAAAATAAATAGGAAAGCAGGAAAGGACACAGATGGCACAAAAACTGAAGGATAAAATATAGAGTTTTGGGAGCTTGGTAACAGCACTGAGGAGGAGAATATTTTTGAAATATCACAGTGTTGTTGGGGGGGAAAAAAAGAGTTAAAAAGGCAAAAGGATTAATCCATCCTGTCCTTAGCTGTGCTGCATCTAAATAGATCACTTAACACAAGGAGGAAGGAGCAAGTCAGCAGAGGAGGGGAGGGAAAGAAGAAAGGTAACCATGTCTTAATGCCCTGAAATGCTGCTGAAACCTTCAGAATGACGAAGCAATTCTATAGAGTTACTTGAGATGGGAAAGGAAAAATACCAGGGACAAAAGCAAAGGTGGTTCCTTGGAAAAATGAAGTTCCCGTAGAGCAGGTGTCAGCTATGGCCCTGAGAACTGAAGAGGCAATTCTGTGTCTTCAAAACCCATGGTGATGTGACAGTGAAACTATGTGACAGGGGAGGGAATAAGGAGTTCCTAAGGGTGTTGATGTGTATTTGTGTCGAGAAGGACAGAGCAGCTGAAATACTATGAACAGTTATCCTATAAAGGAGACTTTCACCATTGGTGACTTCTTTATAAACATATAATGATGTGACCCAGAGGAGGTGTCTCAGCTCTGCTCTTCAAAGTTCAAGTGGTAATGCAGCATCATGAAAGCAGACTGAAACTTCCCTCGGTGAGGGAAGTCATCGGTGAGGCCGTTTGTCTGTGTGGGATTTCTTACTGGTTGTATGTGGGGAAGCAGAAGTTAAACCAGCTGTTAAGCACTGAACACATAATTCCTGTAAAGTGTGATGGCAGTCCAGTCTGAAGCTTTAATTTGGCTGGAAGCAACCATCTGCAAGTTATTTTTTTAAGCGTTATGTAAATGAAACCAGTAGTTTGTTTTTTTTTTACTAGTGTAAGAAACAAAGCCCAATAAAAGAACGAAGGACACCAGCTTAAAGCACTGGTAATTCAGTTTTGTTCCCACTTCTGTTGTGAACGTCCTCTTTGACCTTACAGAAGTGACTTTATCAGTGTTTGTATATGGGTTGAACAATAGAACCAACAAGGGATAACTCAACATGTTGATTTGGGACCCTGTGTGCTACTGCAAGATTAAAAAAGAAATAGGCAAAAAGATAAAGATGTGAGTTTATAATCACCAAAAATATTTTGGCAACTCGTAAAGAAGGCTCATAAAACTCCTTAGGTCCAAATGGAGGCAAGGTTGAGCAATTTCCCATTCCGTGATCCTCCTGCCAACCATAATATCCGCATCCAAGTCTTCTGGGCCTGTTTTCTAGATCTCGGAAGTCAGTGAAAGAGCATTTATTACCAGCAGATCTGGCTGGTGGAAGATGATGTAGATTCCACCATACCTGTGGACAAATAAAACATGATTATGTTAGATAAATCAAAGGGTAACGCATACCTACCGTATACACCTACTATATTCTCCTGGTGAGATGAAAGCAATATTAGCCATGTACTGTTAGAGCAAATGATCACCAATTATTCATGTTTAGCAATAGATTTCAAGCCTGTAGTGGAACTCACAGACATGATCTCATATCGATGTACTGGAAGTCACATCATTTATTCAGAGCTGTGGCAAACCACTATGCTCCTTAAGAGAGAAAAGTGTTTGCACAGGCTAAGAAATAAAACACAGATGCACAGATGAGAGTTAATATTAAGAGGAACAGTATGAATAAGTACTGCACTCCTTCATGAGCAACTAAATGCATTTTAGTGTTAATTCTGAGGAAGTTTGCAGACAGCTGAGTACATAATCATGGTAGCAGTTTTTGTCTGCCTAAGCCAACTAGAAGAAATGCACACAAAATGTGAAAATCAGAAATTTCAACACATCCATGTGTTATAGACACTATAGCTGTAAAAGGAGTAGTATTGTCAAGGCTGGTTACAATATGAGGGGAAAAAAATAATTCAAAGATATGTTTGGGCTCAGGACAGTGTCTCCAGGCCAGCAATATCTGTTTGAACAGGAACCACAGCACTTGGATGTTGAATACCAGGAAAAGGACTATATTATATGGCAAATGAGCTCACTGGGATGCACTTCATCAGTACATGTTCATTACAAAACTTGTAGCTCTGTAAATAATACCATCCACAGACACATGGGCAATCTCTAACATTCAGAAAGTGACGAAGAGAGGAGAGACAATAGAGCTTTTAGTCATTTTATTGTGTTAAATGTTATGTGGGTGGATAGTAATAGGACAAGGGAGAATGGTTTTAAACTGAGACAGGGGAGGTTTAGGTTAGATATTAGGAGGAAGTTTTTCACTCAGAGAGTGGTGACACACTGAAACTGTTTGCCCAAGGAGGCTGTGGATGCCCCATCCCTGGAGGCATTCAAGGCCAGGTTGGATGTGGCTCTGGGCAGCCTGGTCTGGTGGTTGGCGACCCTGCACATAGCAGGGGGGGGTTGAAACTGGATGATCTTTGAGGTCTTTTTCAAGCCACGCCAGTCTATGATTTATAAAGCAATGTATTATGGTATGCCTTTAGATTGGATTGCTGAGTTGGTCTTCAAGGTGTTTCTTGTTTTAAAGCATTTCAGTTCACCTTCACAAGACTGAAACTTTGAGGAAATGTTACTGGAAAAATTGTTCAACTAAGTTGAACAAAAATATGCTTTATCATATCTTATCTGGCTTTATTGGCTATCAGTAGAAGTGACGCTTTTTATTTAATGTTTTATTGCTCATACACAGATATGCTCTGAAAAATGGTAGAGGTAACATAAGGAAGGTGGAAAATATCTGTAAAGTTTTTTTATAAACATGAAAGAACTCAGTGTCAAGCACACAAAGATCCAGCTAGGTTTTTAAAAACCTGCAAAACAAAGGCTGAAAGTACTCTGTCCACCCGCTGTGTGTGTTTGAAGAAAGAGAGGAGCTATTTATATTAAGGAACAATTCTTGGCACAAAACTGCGTTGATATAAACTACCTGGGATTAAGTGGGAGCTGGGAATTAGAAAATGGTGTTGATGAAGGAACAATGGGATTACAGGCCATATGCCAATAGAGTCTGCACAGAGGTTCTGCTTGTGAAGTTGGAACTGAGATAGGATTCCTGCAAGGTTTATGAAAGTATTAAACCTCCCTTTCATGTGAAACAATACAGCATATACTTCCCTTCTCATGCCAGCTAATGACCAAATGAAAAATGAATTTTTCAGTAATTTGTAAATGAATCCATTAATAATTAAACTACGTAAAATGAACCAAACCTGAGTTGAACAAAACCTGTAAAAATTACATCATTGTCCTGAATACAATTAGCACTGGAGTAACAGTCATTTCATATTTTCTGTCTCCTGGAAAAAGTACACTTATACTCAGGCTGAATTTGCAGACATGGAGTTTTAATTACACTGCTATGGACCATAGCATTTAATTGCTGTAATTATGCAGAGCTACAGCTTGAATCATTAGGATAACACTGGCGATACTGCTGCTTTCTCAGGATGAATGTTTGGCAGAAAGTGATAAAACTTGGCACTGAGGAATGTCTCACTGGCTGGACTGCAGAGAGCTTGTAGAATCTCAATCCTTAAAAGTGATGGCTAGTGATAGTAGAGCCTGCAATGCGAGTCTTCCTTCCCCACTTCACTTTACCTGCAAACAGCACAGCTGTGGGTGTCAGTAACTTATTGAAGCAGTGACAGTGCCTTAGTAAAACTAATGACAGTATACATTTTGGGTTCCACTCTACAAGAAGGACATTAATTAAACCTGAGTGAGTTCAGTAGGAGGCCATTGATGTGGTCATGGGCTGGAGCACTTGCCCTGTGAGGAGCAGCTGACAGAGCAAGGCCTGTTTAGCTTAGGGAAGAGAGAGCTGTGGGGGACCTTAGAGCAGCCTGCATGCAGTGGAGCAGTTTGCTTGGAAAAACTGTGTGGTCTCTGTCATCTTTAGAAGTTTTTTTCCTGACCTGACTGGATAAAGTTGTGAGCAACATGTTCTAACCTTGGAGATGACCCTGCTTTAAGAAGGAGGTTGGACTGAGAACTGTCAGAGGTCCCTTCCAACCTGAATTACTTGATGACTATTTTATCATCTACTCCTTGAAAGCCATTGGTAGTAGCTCTGCCTTTTTTCTACTGCACATGGACATAGCATGTTCTGGAGAATCATAGAATCATCAAGGTTGGAAAAAACCTACAGATCATCCAATCCAACTGTCCACCTATCACAATAGAACCTAGCCAAAACCCATAGGGATTCACAAAGAACAAAGACCCAGAGAAGCGGGTTCCCAGTTTGACACAGAAGTATTCTATTGAGTCCTATTCCTTAAGAATAACCCAGATTATTTTCTGGGTATCTTAATGTTTGAAGATTTGTCCCTCAGGGAATACAGTGTTCTTCCCCTGATCAATATATTAAGATTTGCCCATTTCCACTGAATATTTCTGGGATGAAAGTCACAGCTGCTGCATTGAAAAGAGGCTCTCTTTGTCCTTCACTTTCTGCTTAGGAGAAGCAAATGCTTCTGCCTTCTCATGCACAGGAGATCTACAGCTGCAGGCAGATTCCTTTGAGGGCAATATGAGGTCCTGAGCCTGTAGACAAGGAGAAGAAAACAAAATGCCACAATTAGAAGTGAGCTTTTGGTTCTGCAGAATAGTAGCTAAGCTTCATGGTACTTTTAAGGAGAAAAACTCAAGCAGCTCTGGTTAGCAGAAGACCTGAAATGGTGGGTAATGTATGGGGTGCTTGCAAGAGAAATAAGGGTAGAGGTAGGTGAATAAGGGAAAGTATATGGAAAGATGCAAAAAATCAGTGGCAATCTCAATTGTGGAAAGAAAACTAGATACGCACTCCTTTATTCATTTAAAATCTAGATATCTCATGTATTTTCCTATCTGAAAGTGGAACTTTTCCTTCTGCAAAGGAAAAGTTATCTAGTACTGCTAGACACTCTAGAAAATGAGGTAAGAATACTTCTGAAATCAGGTACTACTGGCCCTCAGAGAGGAGGGAAATGCCAGCTCAGAATTGTCACCAGCTTTTCCCAAAAATGCTTAATACCCTAGTGCTCCTTGTAAGTCAGGACCGTTGTTTTTTGGCCTTCAACTGCTGGCAGTAAAAATTAAGTAAGATGTTTTTGTTGGTGATAATTATAAAATCATAGAATCCTTAGAGTTGGAAGGGGCCTTTAAGGGCCATCTAGTCCAACTCCCCTGTAATGAACAGGGATATCCATAGCTAGATCAGGTTGCTCAGAGCATAGACTAGCCTGATCTTGAATATTTCCAGGAATGAGGCTTCTACCACAACTCTGGGCAACCTGTTCCAGTGCCTCACCACTCTCACTATGAAATACTTTCGTATTTACAGGTTGTTTTCTTTTTCCTTCCAGGTCTTGGCTTTTGTTATTCTATTCTGGATGGCCCTACTAATGCTACAGTCCTTGCTGGTTCAGAAGCCCGGTTTAATTGCACAGTGGCGAATGGATGGACAATTCTCATTTGGTTGTTGAATACAAATCCTGTCCTCACTGTCATTAATTCTCACGGACCTATTGAAACCTCGGATCGCTTCACCTCTCATAGCTATAACAACAGTCAAAGTTTCACCTCAGAGCTGATCATCCACAACACTCAGCTAAATGACTCTGGAAGAATTGAGTGCAGCATCCAGAGGCTTGATGGTAGCAGCTTTGCCTTTCTTTCTGTGCAAGGTGTGTATAGCCACCGGTAGAAAGCGATTTTATTATCTCACTTTTAAAGAAATCCTCTGATTAATTGTGCAAATTACACTGTGAAGGAGTACATGCTCTCATTTACTATCATTTGTCTCCACAGAGGACCTTGTGTTAATTTTAGTCAAAGCAGGTTTCAGTCACAAAGTGCCATTAAAAAGGCTTGAACTGCCCTTGTTTTTCCCTGTTATATCTCTTATTCTTCACTGGACTACATTAAAGTGCCGGAAGTCTGTATTAAGCCCACTGGCAGTCAGTCAAAATGAATCTTTTGCCTAAAAACATTATGGATCACCTTCACTCCTCTCCGTCTTTGTACCTGGGCCTTCTGCTTTCTTTAGGACAGATCTCCCTCCTGCTGTCTGATTTAGGAATAAATTTGTAGCCCACTTTTTGAGTTTGATTTAATGATGCGCAGAAGTAAAGTCTTTGAGACATAAGGTGATGCTCTTAATGTGATGGCTGTCACAAACTACCGTTTCCAAAGAACAAAAATGCTCCTGCATTATCAAGTCCCTCAGTATGAGACATTTTGTTCTCTTCAAAGCATCAGTAGTTACAGAGTGCAGCCAAAAAAAGTAGTATCTAATGATCAGACACTGTCCATCTCAGAGTTGCTTTATGTGATGGGAATATCTCGCCTGTCTGTAAACATTTCTTGGTAAGGTTTCCAAAGCCATACTTAAAGATTATGGAGAAACACTATTATCTCATTGTGTTGTTCTTCAACTAGAAAAATAATGCCTAAAAAGTGTAATTTCCTGCTTTGTAATGAGAAGATACTGAAAGCTAAAAGTAGTGCTTTAAGCATACTAAACAAAATGCCAATTTAGATGCAACGTCTGCTTCTTTATATCATGAATATCTTATGTCAGTGTTAATAAGTGTTTTAAAATTCACGTCTCGATATATAGCTAATTTGGATTGGCAAGGTAAGATTTAAAACTATTGGGCGGAAGGCAATGTGGATAAATATTGTGGAAGAACAAAATCTCTTTTCCCTCCTACAGTTAATGGATCTTTAGTCATGAAAAACAGCACTTTAATAGTTAAAGAGAACACAACAGTTGAAGTTGTTTGTGAAGCCTTAGGATGGGCTCCAGCTCCAGAAATAACCTGGATGACAAATGACTCTCTCATTGATAAGTCGAGGTATGTTACCCAGCAAAGTCAAGGATCTAACAGCCTCCACAATGCCCTGAGCGTCTTGACTTTGACTCCAATGAATACTGAGATATTGACATGTTTAGCTGATATAGAAGCACTCCCTAACCCTCAGAATGCAACCATAGCTGTTATTGTTGGCAACTCTACTCTAGGTAAGTGAATGCTTTTTGTACTTCGTCTACTCTATTTTCTCAGAACTGTGCTTTACATTTTGTATTGCTTTGAAAAGGCTTTCATTTGTAACTAAAATACTGTTAGATATGCAAAGGTGATAGAATTAGGACTTGATAGTTACACCTGATATGTAGGTACAGGAAACTTCACTTTTGTGAAAGAACTGGTACAAGTCTAATGAACCACAAAGTCCACTTAGATCAAAGAGCCATTGGGCCTGTAACCCTCCTCCTGTTATGGTCTCTTTCACATTGTAGAGGAATGTGAAAATTCTACTACAGCAATGTGTGTAAAACTCTTGGAACAGTGCATCAGTTGCTTTTAATTGACTTTTATTTAGGGAAATTCAAGGTTGCATATTAAACTAAGCATGAGTGTTGAGCAAATCTTTCAAGAACTTCTAGCAAAACATTTGATAACCCTAAATATTATTGCTAATGTTGTCAGCATTTTTTTTGTAATGCTGCTCATCTTTGATCTCACAGATGATCTTTGAAAGTGTATTCCAGAATTTTACATGTTCATAATATTAGGACGTTCATAAAGAAAAGGTTTATCTGATTTGCCCTGACAATGTGGAACAAAGTGTTAAATTCTCATTGAAGATCTAACTTCATGATCTAGCTGAATCCTATGTAAAATGCTTTTCCGTAACACAGCAAGAACAACTAAGATGCAGCATCCCTTTACAATTTAGCAATGGTTTAATGCAGGTGGGGAGACAATCCCAGATCATCCTTGGGAGCATTTCTGTATAGGGACTGGGCAAGCAGCTCAACTATAAAGCAGAGGACTCTCAAGACAAGCTGAATCTGAGGAGCTAATAGTATGGCAGGTAGCTAGGGTTACTGGATATAGCTACAGTGCTGAGATGGTGACACAGTCCACCATACAGTGACATCTCTTTTATTAGTCTTAGTCCATGGGAAATGCATGGGTTATATGGAGTATTTTCTTCTTCACAGTGAGTCTATGGAGCCCCGTCTGCCTTCTGTGTATAGAGTAGGGCCTCAAATCTGTGTTTCTCTTCATGATGTGGTGAGCACTGTGAACTTCTATGATCACGCTGACAGCTTCTCTTGATGAACTGATTATTCTAGGTGAATATGCCACATCCAAAACATTCTCATAGAGTTTTGATGAAAGGTATAATATAGAAGTTTTTACATATAAACAACTGAAGAGATTGAGTAATTTTGTCTTTAATGTATGAATCATTATTAGCAAATCTTTTCAGAAGTATTTGCTCTGTAATGCAGTTGAAAAAGTTCATTTCACCATTATTAATGTGATTATTTTGTAGTCAGATTGCTCCTAATGACTAAGCAAAATAGAACTACCCTGAGGAAATAAATAAATTCCTTTGCCTACTTGTTTGTGAAGTACTGAAGTATACACCCTCAGTTTCCATAGCTACTCACTGTAAATCAGAAGAGGAGAAAAACAGATGTCATGAAGCACAATTAGTGTATAATTAGAGATTGTATAGGGCCATCTTTCATTGCTCTTTGGAAAAATTATTTTGCAGCATCAGACACTCAACATCTGTAAGCATTTGAACATATGAAGTCTTCAGATTATTAGAATGAAATAGACCTGACATTTATGACAGAGGAAGATATGCAATGTACATCACACATGAAATTCCAAACCTTGTTTGGTTTTTCATGAACAGACTCAACCTTGGCTAGATATTGTCAGGAATAAGAAGACTTAAGGTGTTTGAAGCTGTTGTATTATACAATTCAGCCTTCACTTAAAAGCTTGAAGAATCTAATTCCTCCAAGTTCTTGATGAGCAGTACTTGTTTATTCATGAAAACTGCAATCCAAAGCCCTCTGAGCCCCTTCAGCCAGTCATTATCTCACCAGTGTACTTCCTACATGTCTAGATCACTCCTAATCTCAAAACTCTTCATATGGCTAACAAAGTGACACCATCAGTTATTCATCCTCATAGGCAGCTCACTCTCAGCAAAATTTGGCTGAGTTCCAGATTTGGGAATTTCTATGAAGCTATTGCAACAGATGTATTCACAAAGCTGTATTAAAAATGAGGCTCTTGGCAAAGTCCCTTAGCTATTCCCAAGTTCTTTGTGGCATGTGTTGACTCCATGTGGTCTTTGGACTGCAGAAATGGAGAGTGGGGATATGCCAGGTGCCTGATCTTCCTTTGTTTTTTCTTAGCCAGAAAATTCCAAAGTGTTCAAGAAGTGATGTCCAGCTTTGTTCAGTCTTAATTTCTCCTTTGGCATCAGCATGTGTCAGAGAAAATTCCTTTTCTTAAAGTACTTTACACGAATAAACTTATAGTACTTGAAGGGAGCTTACAAGTAAAAGGGGGACTGACTAACAGTGATAGGACAAGGTGGAATGGCTTTAAATGAAAAGAGGGGAGATTTAAGTTAGATGTTAGGAAGAAATTCTTTCCTCAGAGGGTGGTGAGGTGCTGGCACAGCTGCCCAAAGAAGCTGTGGTGTCTGATCCCTGGAGATGCTCAAGGCCAGGTTGGATGGGGCCCTATGGAATGAGGAAGTGGCTTTCTTCACACTGTAGGCCTAATGTAATTTGATGTGGATTTACTCCTACTTTCATACTGAACTGGCAGCCCTTATGTTCATATCTGCTGGTCTCAGTTCCAGTTTCTTGCCTCTATAGCTAAGTAGTTATGTCTTTCATATTTTAGTCATGTTGAAATCCCTGTGGCTTGCTTTATGAAACAAAACAGAGCACAGTACATATATTTGTTGCAGTACTTCTGGACAGAAATATTGTGAACAAGTTCCTCACCAATTGTAATCACAATTGATTACAGCCTGCCGATTTAACAACTAATCTGCAGGTTGCTGAGTGCTTGTTTTCTCTATTTGTCAGATGAATTTCAAAACATGCTGATTGTGCATTAAGCAATTTGTTCCAGACTTCTACAGTCCTAATCAAAAATGGCCCCAAATTTAGAGAACTCAGACTAACAAAGACCCAAGCTTTGTAGGAGGCTCTGGTCCTGTGTCTCTGCAGTCTGAAGCCAAAAAAACCCAAGTGCTCCAGGCAAATTTGTAGATAGAATGCATTTACTTCTTTATTCTTGCCAAGTAAGTAAAGCAGCACGTACTCTGGGTCACACATCTGGGAAATCTCTATTATACTGTATGGCTGCCTGCAGTCTGCATTGCTGTGGTATCTTTCCCAGATGTCATCAGTTACATACGGCCATGTGATTATTAACTGGGACTTCTAATGAGGATGTGACAATCGTAAACCCCGTGTGTTGGGGCACTGTCAAGTTTGGATATGTTTCACATGTGTCATTTGGATCAAAAGCTTGTTTCTAAACAACTGTCAAAGCAATTTGGTGGCTGCTTTTCAAAGGGTAGACAAATTAGGGGTGCTTCTAGCATGTTTGGTCAAAACCAAATGGTACGATGATGTGACAGTCAGACCTGACACCTTCCTTGTGCATCCAGCTGTGTGAGGAATGTGAGGTATTCTTAACATTCTGTGATGTAGGAGTTTTTTGTTGGTGGAACCGGTTGCTATGAATGCATTTCCTAAGACATTGAATTATCCTGATATCACCTCATTTATTGCTGTGCATTACAGTAAAAAAAAGAGAGAGAAAAAGGGAAGAAAAAATGGAAAAAAAAAAAAAAGGAATAATTTATTGTTATGAAAATGCTAGTAGTAAAGATGGCTTGATAGCTTCAGTCTTCTGAATTGTGCTTCTCCTTACCTTTTTTGGTGTTCAGTGCTCTTTAAGTGGTTAACTCATAAGCTACAAAGTATGTTGAAAATTCAAACACCTGCTGAAACTAGTGGGAGAAATCCTAAGATGGGATTTATTGTAAAATCTGATCTACAGGCCGGAGGTCTCCATCCGTACTAGAAACCTAAAACTGTCACCGTGATCAGTGGTGAGAAATAGAAGCTTCTTCAGAACAGATCATTTTATCCAGAGGGGTACATACATATTTGGTCAGATGTGCTGTAGCCTAAAATAGCTCGTTTCTCTACATTGACAAGTGCAGCTAGGTAAGGTGTTTAATGCCTGTCAAAATTGAATGTTTATACCTTCTTCTAACCCCAAATATCTCCAAAGGATGATGGGGGACTCAACATATCTACAAAATAAAGTTTTGTTTGGAATATTACAGCTGTGTATATTTCAGAAAGAGGAATAGCTGTTGGAAAAGTTACACGTGATAAAGAATTTTCTTTTGGAAACATTCTAAATTCTTGAACACAACCCATAAATATAGAGATCATGGCTTGGATAACACAGCTTGCTTGCTAAATAGTACCTTGGTGAGGCACAGGCTGCCCAGGGAGGTGGTGCAGTCACCATCCCTGGAGGTGTTCAAGAGCCATGTGGATGTGGCACTGAGAGACATGGGCAATGGGCGTGATGGGGGTGGGCTGATGGTTGGACTGGGTGATCTTAGAGGTCTTTCCAACCTTAATGATTCTATGAGCTTATGATTCTAATCAACAAACAGTTAATAGCTTCTCACAGAAAAAGTCAATGTTATGAAAACAATGTTTTGAATCTCTGATAATACAATATTTATCCATTTAATTTAACAGACAGCAGTTACAGTGAAGACAGCACAAGCACGTGGGTTATTGTACTCGCAGTTGTGTTTTCAATTGTTGGTTTTATTCTTCTGATAATTCTTATTTGGGTTGTCGTGCGCTGCTGCTGCCTAAAGAAAGGTAAGTGGAACTTCATAATTGACCTATATGTTAAAAAAAAAAACAAACAAAAAAACTAGATATAAACTACTTATGGAGTACAGAGTTGTGTAAGCAGATGGGTGAGCAGAGTGATCACGCTCTTAACCATGACCTGGTTAAGATGATCCTTACCTTCCCCTTGTTTCTCCTATAACTTGGTTCCAAACTCTGAGGGCTGCTCCAAAAACAATGCCTCCTGTTTCATTATGTTGGCCCACCACATCAGAGGTTGATGTTGGTGCGATGGCAGTAGTGGTTGAGTGTTCCTATCAGAATTCCATTCAATTTTGTTGCTGGTGACAGACAGCAGCAGAGGGGCAGTCTGACACAATGGCATCTGACACAGAAGTGTGTCTGAAGCAAAGGTGTGTCACTGAATTTATCTGTGTGGAAAAAATGACACCTATTGACATTCATCAGTGCTTGCTGAACGTTAATGGAGACCAAACAGTGGCTGTGAGCACAGTGAGGCAGTGGGTGATGCATTTCAGTGGCTGTGCATCCCCTCTGCTGATGCAGATGTTTACAAGCATGGCATGCAGACTTTTGTTCATTGCTGGCAAAAGCAGAGCTGATGGTGGTGGCTATGTTGACAAATAGTGTTTTGTAGCTGAGAATTTGCTCTATCCAACAGTGTTTGCATGCTCTTGACACTCTTTGTATCTGTTGTAGTTTCCATGGAAACACCTAGGAGGCGTTACTTTTGGAGTGACCTATGTCATCAGTGACACACATTAACCTTCACATTAACTAGAAGGGCATTTCAGGAGTATATTAACTTTCAGTGATGTGTAGTTTCTACAATGAGGTTATTTGCTGAAGCACATCTGCAGTTCCTAGTTTCCCACGGTGCGAGCCACTCTGCAGGGATATTGCAGTTCTGCACATAAGGAGGGGAGATGCTCCTAGCTGGAACACAGAGCATGCACTAAAGGCAGCTCTCTACAGGTCATACTTTATTTCCCAGCATTTTAAACACTCTTTTTTTTTTTTTTTCCCCCCTCAGGATCCACGTATGAAAATGAAGTGAGGTAAGATGAACACGTCGGGATAATTTTTTTTCCTTTTAACCGAGCTCCTTCAGGCCGCTGCAGGGTGGTCAAAGATTTGTGCTGGTTTCCATGCCCCACTGCAGGTTTGGGGCAAATCAAACGCTCACACACAAACCTCCGGGTGCTGGGTGTTTGCAAGCGCTTCCACAGGAGGTCACTGCGAGCCCGTGGCTCTGCGGGGAGCGAATCACAGCTCTGTCGAGGTTCCTTAGTGCCAAATTATAAAATAAAATAAAGAAAAAACTAAAAAAAGCTAAAAAAACTAAAAAATAAAAAAAAAATAAAAAAAAAATCTGAGTATCAACACTCGATCTGTTGTGAAGGTCTCTTGGCAAAGTGCCATTTATGCAGTACTTTTTTTTTTTTTTTTTGATGATGAAATGAAGAAATTGTATCTGTGTATCTACATAAATAGTGCAGGACTACATCAGTAAGGGAACAGGACGTCTAAAGGAAGCACAACCTGCATAACAGTTCTGGTATGAATAAAACACTAGGAAACATTTTTGCTTAGATTCTGACTTGATTCTGCCAAAAGCCGTGTGCAGAGATCAGCACTGCTGCAACAAAATCGATTACACATTCAGAGAGGTATCTGCCCAGTGTGGGGATGGTACAGCCATATGAATGTCCTTCCCAGAAGCCCACCTTGCTGGCACTGCCCTCAGAGGGTCTGCATGCTGCAGCAGATCCAGAATGAAATTTAATGTTCAGTTCTCCCTATTTCTTTGCATCTGATCTGGTGCAAGTGTGGCTACGTCTTCATGAAATAATCTTAGTACAGTAGAACTCCAGTTTTGCAATTAACTTTAAGCATGGGTTGTCATCCCAGCTCCCTAAAAGTTGCTTAAAGTCTGAAAAAAAGCTTAGTTAAATGCGTAAGCACTGAGGTGAGTCCAGGCTCAACAGCTTAGTTAGGAAAAGTCAGTGCTGACAGTTCTGTAAAATTTTGGTACGTGCAAGCAGTGCCACTGAATTCATACAAACCTCTCAGAATCTCTTTCAGATTTTTTTTTTTTTCCTTAGAGGGGCGCCTACGTGCAGGAAAAAGAATGACAGTTGTCCAGATGTTGGAAGCTGTGTTGGGGTACCAACAAAGAAGGAGTCAGAGCGCAGATGTGCTGTTTTACTTCCCCCAGTGTTTATTTTTAACTTGGCTGTTTACCTTTCGGTATCTCCCACACATTTGTAATTCTTTTCACTTGGCTACAGCACAATCTGTTGAGACAGAGATATTAGATAAAGTACACTGAAGACTATCATGTAACATGTGAAGGTGGTATTACTAAACAATTGCTCCTCCCTAGCCACCATTGCAAGCTTCTTAGAGGCACTTAACAGGTTTATCCCATGAAAAAGCCATGTAGTCATAGCTGGCTCATCAGGTATACCTCAATAACATTCATCTGAAGCTCTATGGATCCGTGAATTTATTTATCCTAATTGAATGTAAAAAACTAGATGGAGCAGTTTCCACAAATACTGTTGAGAGTATTTCCCCTTTTCTATACAAATCCCTGGATTATTATAGTTCCACTACCAATTTATCCCTGTCATGCTAAAAACAAAGATAGACCTGGGACTATCCCAGAGAGGAACCTATGGTTGGAACAAATGAATGTGTAACTTCTAGTGTAAATTTTGAGTAAAAATTCTCTTCTACCTCACCACATTGCCATGCAGATCATCATTCTGGAAGTTCACAGATGTGTAACTTTAACAAAGGAAGTTCTATCAGCTTTGCTGTGGCTGTGTACATGTGCACAGTAAATTAGCTTTGTAGTGTAGAGATGAATCACTTGGGAACTAACTGCATTGATGTGAACTAACATGCTTTCTTTTTGCAATAGTTCAATCAAAAAATGATCAGTTGCTATAGGTGACCCAGCTGGTATTCCCTTATCGTGCCACTGACTACTCTGTAATTCAAGATTAGAGATCAAAATTAATTTCCTGTGGTGCAAAAGAGTCTTCACTGTTAGAAGATCACTCGCTTTATTTTTGTTCTTGCTTTAAACAGAACTTCACAGGCAATATTTACATAGGACGAGATTTGCAATAGTTGAATAACTGGAAGCCCCAGCTATATTTTGCAGCTATAGTTTTCAGTAGTAGAGCATAAAATATTTTCTCTGCCTTCTACCCAAGAGTTCTTATAATGAAGTTCCATTGATGTTTTTGTTTGTTTGTTTGTTTGTTTCCCTAGAAAAATTTCAATTAAGAAGAAAACAGATGACCATTTGGGAAACAGACAAAGGGGTGGTAGCGAAAATCAGGGATACGTTCCAGAGGAACCACATTACACAGGACAAATCCCAAGTGAGTAAATTGCTTACACCTCTCAACGAAGGCATTTTGGGCAACAAGTCATGCAATTAAATTATAAGATTTCGCAGCACCTTGTTAAGGATTTGTGAGACAAATGAGTGGACATCAAGGTGGACTGAGAACTAGCTGAGTGGCAGAGCTCAGAGTGTTGTGATTAGAGGCACAGGGTCTAATGGAGGCCTGTAACTAGCAGTGTTTCCCCGGGATTGGTACTAACATCATCATCAGTGACATGGACAAAGGGGTTGAGTTCACTCTCAGCAAGTTTGCTGATGATACAAAGCAGGAAGGAGTGGTTGGCATGCTGGAAGGCTGTACTGCCATTCAGCAAGACCAGGACAGACTGGAGAGCTGGACAGAGAGGAACCTGATGAACTTTAACATGAGAAAGTATAGGGGCCTGCACCTGGGAAGTCGTACACCACATGCATCAATAACAGATTAGGGGAAATGAGCTATGAGGAGAAGAACCTGAGTGTCCTAGTGGGTAACAGGTTGGCCATAAGCCAGCAGTGTGCAATGGCTAAGAAAGACAATTGAATTCTGGGGTGCATGAAAAAGAGCATGGCCAGCAGATTGAGGGTGGTGGTCCTCCCCCTCTACTCTGTCCTGGTGTGGCCACATCAGGAATATTGTTTCTAGTTCTGGGTTCCACAGTTCAAGAAAGAGAGATTTCCTAGAGAGAGTCTAGCGAAGAGGGAAAAGATGATGAGAGACCTGGAGTGTCTCCTGTATGAGGAGATGCTGGGCTGTTCGGTTTGGAGAAGAGAAGGCTGAGAGAGGATCTTATCATTGCTTATAAACATCTGAAGTGCAGGAGTCGAGTCGATGGGGGCAGACACTTTTCAGTGGCATCCAACCACAGAACAAGGGGCAACAGGCACAAATTGGAACATAGAAAGTTCCACATGAACATGAGGAAAAATTTGTTTACTTTGAGAGTGACAGAGCACAGGGAAAGGCTGCCCAGAAAGGCTGTGGAGTCTTCTGCTCTGGAGATATCCTGTACCTGCGAGGACACTAACCTAGGGAACCTACTTTAGCAGCGGGGTTGGACTCTCTAGAGGTCCCTTCTAACCTCTGTGATTCTGTGATTATGTAATAATCAATGTAAGCAATATTTTGCACATTTGAAAGAAAAACAAAACACATAATAAAAACAAAATAAAGAAGAGAGAAATAATAAAAAAATCACAGGGAACACAGCAGACATGATATAGTTTTGATGTTCTTCTTCTTCAGTTACTTCTAGGACTTATGCTGCATTTCTGAGTAAAGCTGATCCTTTGAAGGTTTTAATGCTCATTCATCTATAGGTTTGGGTTTTTTGTGTTTTGTTTTTTAAGATTTTTTGTTAATAGCTTTTTTGTTATCTATGTAGCTGAACAATGGCCATATTTTTATTCATTCGATAAATTACTGCAATACCAATTTATGTAACTTTGTAGTTAAAAATATTCACTCTGGTAATGGTATTTCAGGATAGCATACCAATATCCTCAATATGCTCTCAGTGTTGACATAGTTTTGGGGGATTATACAGCCATGGATGAGAGAAAATGTATCCGTTAGTTTTTCTGAGTATTACAGGCTGTCTCTGAAGGTTTTCCATGTAATAGAGGATGGAGGTCTTTACATTCATCTTTCCTCCCAGTCTTTTCCTAAGGAGTCTTCATCCCAAGTAATTCCATGAAAAAGAGAGGCAACAAAGCCTGACTCCCAGTCTCACCTGTTGACATCAAAGCCTTTGAATATGACAAACATCTTGAGACCATCCAATAAGTTGAAATGCTACTGAGTTACTGAAATGGGTGGAGATGCACAGTCACCATGAACATAAACACATCTTATTCATGTCCCTAAGAAAGCAGAGTTACATTTCACAGTGATGGCTCTTACAAATTTCATTCATGTGTGGCCTCTATAAAATGGTTACTGCACAGTGATTGCAGAGCAGTGACAGAGTAGAACAACAACAGCTAGAAGAACAGAGGTTGGAAAAAGTCCAGTTTTTAAACAGTCTGTGTTTTCCACAAGAAAGCACAGTTGAGCAACCATCCTTTACAGTCCTTTTCCCCACATTGCTGACCTCATTAGTAAAAATATGCTAGTGAATTATGATGCTACTGGTAGATGACTAAGGCATTATAAATTCTAGTCCTTAAGCACCAAGTCTCTTCAAAATCAAAAGTAAATCTCCACCAAATCTTTACTAAGCATTTGCATTTAGAACCACATAATTATCAAAACATTTAATCAGGCATTTAATGACAAAATTATCGTGTAGAGTCTATAACTCAGGCATACACCCTTGTCTCTCTAACAAATACGTTGTGAAGAAATTAATACAGTGGAAAGATTTCAAGAGTATGTGGTATTGTTAAATGTAGAAGTTACAAAATAAATAAATAAATAGAAGGAAAATTAAATCAAAACTAGTCAAATTGATTCTGTTGTTTGTGGTTTGTACCATGATGGATGCTGATAACTGTAATTCTGTATATTTTTATTACAGCAGTTGTTTCTCTTCCTCCAATGTCTACAAAGTTCACTGTCCCTCATCCAGATTTACATACCAGTTCTGCACCAAAGGTAATTGTTATGCTGGTATCTTGATTTTTTATTTTATTTTATTTTTTTTCACATGGTGGGTATTCTACTGTACTCAAACATAGATTTTGGGTGGAGGTAGATATTTAAAAGTCAATTAAAATTTTAATTAGATAAGTAGAATGATCCCTTAAACATTCATGACTCTTTTGTTTATAACCATAAATGCCTCTGGTGTTAGTCTTGAGTTTAGATAAATTTACTGGGGAGTGGGAGGTGGGAAAGAAACAGACACCCCTGATATTTGGAAGAAATTTCTAATAAAACTTTAGTTGCCGTCTTTTCACTTGAGATCCCTGCCATGTTTTTCTTCCCACCTTCCATGCTATAGTTACAGAGTTGCAGTCTGCTCCTCCTCAGATGTCTGCTTTTTGCTTTGCATTGTTTCTCATATTTCTCTTCCTCCCAATACCAGCAAGGCCTTTTTCCCAGCACAGTGGGTAACCCTGAGTAGGGTGAACTTGCCACAGGAAAAGATAATTGTCTTCTCATCATTCCCAAGATCAAAAAGTCGCTTCCTCTCTCAACAGCCCATTTATACCACTAATTAAATCTTTCAGATGTGCCAGGCAGAAAAGCTCTGGCTCAGCTCTTCAGAATTAACCTCTACATTTACATTAACCCATTATAATGCAAGGGTGTTTTCTGTTTCTGGATGTATAATGATGCTGCACAGTTGTTAGACGTGTGCTGTTACAAAAGTAGATGCCTGCAATTTTTTTTTTTTTCCCAGTTGCCAGACCTGAGGAAGTGTGGATATGAGATGGAGATACAGATGAATGTGAGGCTTGATGTTCCTTTGTAAACAAAATCCAGTGCAGATTTTTCACTGAGAGAGTGGTGAGGCAATGAAACTGACTGCCCAGAGAAGTTGTGGATGCCGATTCCTTACAGATGGGCCCTGAGCAGCCTGATTTAGTGGCTGGCAATCCTGCCTGTGGCAGAGATGTTGGAACTAGATGATCTTTGAGGTCCCTTCCAACCCAAACAATTCTGTGATAACACTGGTGCTTTTTCTCTAGATAACTCCATGATTGATTTTCCAATTGCACTTCCATACTGCAAAAGTTTCTTCAGTCAAGAGCTTTGCAACCATTTTAGATACCTTTGATATCTCAGCAGTAAATGCTGGAAGGGGAAGCAAAGAGCTAACATCCGATCCACTTTCATGTGTAGTTCCCCTTTCCACACTGCTAAAAGCATAAATAAAAGAGAGTTTAGTGTTTCCTTCACTTCAGTTTTCAGATACCACTATTGTGAAGGATAGTGTCAGGCTCTCAGCAACACGAATCACAATTTATGCTCTAGATTTGTAAAAGATTTTACATCTTTGTGATATTTTTTTGCCAGTATTCTCTTGTGAATGTAGCAGTGATGTGGTACCAAGTTCACGATTCAACACAGTGATAACTCATTTATTTTTGAAGATATGTTTCAACATGTGCAATGCAGAAATCTGTCTTGAGATGACACTGTATATAAATCATAGCAGAATGTGTTTAGTTCTTGCAACACACAATGAAATTTAGGAAGTACTCAAGCCATGATTAAAACAATGATCAAAACAATAATGGTAAAAATAGGAATGATAATGATGTGTCTATAGCTGGTAGCTATCATGTTTGACATTAATTACTTGTTAAACAAAATATTATTAATGCAAAGCTGAAAAGCACACACAAAACAGCTGAGAATTGAAACACAAAACTGAAAGACAAATATAGGTACAGGCCTCCATGTCAGATGCTAGATTAGATAGTCTAGGAGGTCCTTTGCAGCTCAGTGGCTAGGGAAACTTCAAAATCCATCAGAAGGACTTAGCATACAGTTTCTGTTTAACCACTTGTACCTGGACAGTACATGGTATAAGTCTGCTAAAGTGGCTTCTACTTGCATCAGGAATTGCATGCATACTTTGAAAAATATCAAGAGAAAACGTACAGATGAAAAATATATTATGAAAATATATTTTTTAATATGCTAGAGGAATGTTTAGCAGTCTAAAAATGGCCTGTGAAGACAAATTGCTTCTCAGCTTGAACAGAGCTTCTCAGTATATAGTGGTGGCACCATCTTGTGTATACAGGAGTTGATAAAGCAAATATTGCTTGATGAAAGTTTACCTAAAATTGTGGATTTGCAGTCCATGATTTAAGTTTATGTGACTATATACAAACATAGTGAAACATTTCCTAGACAAAGTAAAGTTTTCTTTTTTTCTTCTTTTACATACATAACCTTCCCTGTTAACTGCAAAATAGAGATTTTCTGACAGAGTTGAGTTACTGGATGCATTAACAAAGTTCAATGACCACTGTAGCCAATACATTGCATAATAAATGCTGTAGTGCTCTTTCCTTATAATGCAATCCTTGTCAAGTGGAAGAAACCAGATAGCAAGCCATTTAACTGTTTGCTGATTTATCTGTGTTTCTCAGTTCCCTATATGAATGCTGGAAACATTCCCAAAGGTTTCTTTTCTTTTCATCTTTGTGTGTTTTTCTATATTTTTAAATAAGAAATAGAGCCAGGGAGCAACAGAAGGAAAAGTAGTTATCCAGACAATTTTTTCCACAGTCAAGGAGGTCATGAAGGGATGGACTCTGCAAGTTGCCTCACTCTCTAGGTAATTAGGAAAAAGGAGCAAACATCTATGAGCAAGGTGGGGAGGGAACACAGGAACCAGCTATTGATGGAAGGAGTCATGGAGACTGAGAACCTAAGGCCTCATCTCTCCCTGAGATAAAAAAAAAAAATAAAGATTTCTGTGGCTGTCTTCCTTGACACCTTATGTGATCAAGATTAACCCCAGTAATAAGGTCAGAAAATAGGACCGAATGGGAAAATTATGAATGGAGAGTTTTAAAATTAGAAAGAAGCTCGTGGATGTGGGGACAAAATGGAAAGCAGAACAATCACAGTGAATGAAGGTTATTCAACCTAGTATTTTGAATGGGCAAAGGTAAACATACCTGCATGGCACGCTTCCCTCGCTGCCAGGAGAAAACAAGGTAGAAACTTTGATTGTATAAGCTTCACCTGGATGGGCTGGAGGTATTAGGAAGTCTTCCTGAGTCTCTGAGGGCATCAGCTTCAAATCTGGTACCTTCTATTCCATATGTAAAAAGGTACTATTTTAAATGATTGAGAAATTAAGGGAGCATTTCTATCAGAGATTCCTCAGAAGTCCTTGCCCATTGACCCAACCTGGTACAAAGCCTGAAATATGCTGGGTGTCACAATAAAAGGTGACAACAAAAATTCACTTAGATCAGCTATTCTCTGTTCAAACTCACTGAATCAGAAATTAAAGCAAAATGTTCATGGAAGATAAATGTTGTCCAGTAATTGCACTGATAAATTCGCAACATGAACAAAAGTTCTGGCAAGTCATCCTACGGAAAAATAATAGCAAAGAAGAAGGGAAGGCAAAAAAGATGTGCAAGACATTTAAAAAATGATGAATATTGAACTAAATTATTGAGCTGAAGAAAAAATTACCAGCTACTGGAAGAGGAGGCCAGGAGTATAAGTCAAGAGGTGCTGGAAGGTCTCCACTCTGATTACATTAGCCAGGAAAAGGTCAGATGGAGAGCAGAGTTACAGGCTTCTCTTTAATTGTGCATTTTGTTACCGTCAGCAATGGCAGGAGAGCAGTCTTTGCTCCCAGTCCCAAGAGGGCTGATCTGCAGACGAAATGCCCAGAGAGCATATACCCCGACTTATTATGCAGAGCTCCTTCTGAAACCCAAATTCAGTGAAGGAGATCCCTTAACCTGGCTCTAGCAGATTTTGCAGTAATACCGTGGACACTTGTGCTTTAGCAAGGGCCATAGGGCCATTTCTGAGGAACTGCATTTTTGCGAATCTTACTGCTAGAAAAAGAGATCTAAGGACTCAGCATCTTGCAAGACCAGAGAACCTCCTATACAAGCTTCATAATTAGTCCATTTAATATGGCATAAATGTCTCTATGATAAATCAGAAGACCATTTTGTAAAAAGGAGTGCTCATTTACAGTGAGACAGATTCATCCCTGGTGTAATTCAGCTAACTTCAGCAGAGCCATGCAAGGCTTGGATTTGCCACCACAGCCACACTCTTCCTCTCCAGTCCAGAGTGAGTCACCACTGTTAATGGAGACAGATCTATTTTTCTCTGTAACTACTCCAAATGATACTCTATAAACTGGAAATATTATTTGGTTGTGGTTGTGGTTTTATACCAGAGAGGAAATGAGTGATGGATTGTAGCTACATTTATTGCACTGTATATAACCACTCTGACTCTGTGGATTGTTTCAGAAGAAAAATTAAGCTATCAAAATCAAATTAAAAGGCCAATAAAGTAGAAATATAAACGAATGACAGCAAATAATTTTTCCCTTACTGATGAAACATACTATAGAGTATGTCATGTTATTATATTCATTGGTCAGCATGTCTTGATTAAGAGACTAATAAATATTGATGATACAGGTGCAGGAAGGCAGGTGCAGCTTATAGACGAAAGTATATTTTTTCCAAGTGTCTGTGAAAGAAGGAAAGGAGTGAAGTTATGTGGGTGGGATTAACACAAAAAGAAATAAGAAGGAATTGCCAGTTTGTGTGTCTATTGATGGACAGGGAAATGTGCTGAATGTACTAAAAGTTGACAAGATGGAACTGCTTTGCTATTTGAAGCAATGCTTTATCTGAAATATTGTGAGGGTATCCATAGTTTTTGGGTGGGTGTTTTCCTGTAAATGAAGTGAGTTTGGAGAGAGAATTAAAAACTGAGGGAAGGGGGAGAAATAACCTCGAGAAACAGAAAACTGTGCCTCCATGGTTTTTTGTTCTAACAGCAGAACGTGTGATGCATGCAGATACATTTGGAAATACTCCTACTACACTAATTTCAGCAATTTGTTCTAATGCAGTTTGACTTGGATTTTTTTGGCTAGCTAATAGCAGGCAAAGCCTTCAGCTTGTCACACATTTCTACAGTGTCAGTGTCAGAGGAGCTGCCATCTGTCAAATCAATTTAGAGATCGGAGCCTCTGTTTCATAATGCCAGATGTGAGTTCATCATTCATATCACTGATGTCATATGGGTTGCAGAATTGACTACAACATGCTTGCAATAGCAGAAGTCCTTCCTTCATTGACTGAGGATCATTATCCAAAACACCACTCAAAGATTCAATCCTGAAATCAGCTGGTACACACACTCATTTTGCCTTCTGATTCATCTACATATTGCTGGCTCTTTTTGTTTGGTTGAGAAGCTGAAAGAGGTAGAAAGATCTGGGAATCTATTTTCTCAGTCAAACCAACAAACTATGCAACCCTTTTCCCAGTATAATTCTTTTATAATTCCTTTACAGTAATCCCTGTAAAAATGTATCCAAGGCAGATAGGCAGTCAGCATACAGGTTCTGAAATGTGTGACTGTCAAACATCCATCATTAGCTAGACACCCAGCTGAGAGTACAGAGTCTCCAAACTATGTAAAGGAAATGCTGATGACGTTTTGTTCTGACTGAGAATCAGTGTTAGAAACTTGTTCCTGTAACATTGGGCTGTGCAGCAAACCACTAGAACGATCTTTTTTTCCTTCAACATGTAGGATGTAATGAATAATGAAGCATTTGGGGGGGGGGGGGGGGTTAGGGCTGACAGGACTAGTAGAGCACTGGATTAGTCTGAAGAAGAAACAACTTTGAAATCGAAATCAAGCAGAGGCTCTAGCAACTGTAGCATATCAGAGTTTAAATATGAAATGGCTGTTGTGATACTAGTCCTCTACATTTTGTATTTGTAATGTGTTGCATTTGAGATCTTCTGCATCATCAGAAAATGAAGTTCAGGTCAGTGAACCAGCAGCCTCCATGTCAGTGAAGTTATATCCAGCTTACTGCAACCTCCATGAGGCAATGCTACTTCAGAGAAAGCTTCACAGAAAATGGGCCAGTACACAGCATGAATTTACTGAAATTCATAAAATTATTCTTAATTGATATCAGAGCACAGTGAGAATAAAATATAGGATACTCAGGGAATTTGCTATAAAGCAAAACAGCTATGAAAGATGCAGAAGGGCAGAGGGGGACCTGGTCCATTATGGGCACAGTACCCACTCCAGAAGTAAACTTAGTGCTTGGTTTCTACTTTGCTAGAGAGGAGAAATAGCAGTACGAGGCAGGGGTTGTGTGACTCATTCTTGCAGGTAAAATTTTTAGGGCAAAAAAGGCATGCAGCAGCTACATTTTCCCCAGTGCTGTCAGGGAAGAACAGTGTAGTTTAGATCCAGCTGGCGTAAGTCCTCTGGCTCCTTCCTGTTCAAAAGCAGATGCAAACCAAGATCTTCTGTAGTGTGGCCATGAATATTGCTTCTTTTGATAGCATTACCTAGTGAGCTTTCTGAGTAATCATAGAAACATAATGGTTGGAAAAAACACTAAGATCATCTGGTCCAACCATCAGCCCATTACCACCATATTTTATTTTATTTTATTTTTTACCAAATAAGTGTTCTGCCACAAATGGAGCAAATTTCACATATTCATCTCCTGGGCAGCACAGTCCAGAAGAAACTTCTTATGTGCTCTGGAATGGAATGAGAAATGTCTCCGTTGAACACCACCAAGGTCTTTGGGCTATTGCAGATCTGCAAGAAATTAATAGCGGTAAAGAGATTCTGAAAAAAGACTGAGAAGAGACAGGCAGTCCTTTTACTTCATAGACTCATAGATCATAGAACGACTTGGGTTGGAAGAGACCTCAAGGATCATCAAGTTCCAATCCCCCTGTTGCAGGCAAAGTTGCCAATTGCTAGATCAAGTACTAGATCAGGCTGTTCAGGGCCCCATCCAACCTGGCCTTAAACAAATCCAGGGATAGGGCATGACTCTTGGTGAAAACTTCCTCTGACATCTAATCTAAATCTTCCCTCTCTTAGTTTAAAATCACCCCCTCTTGTCCTAGTCCTATCACTATCTACTCAAGTGTAAATTTCACTTCCCTCCTGTTTATAATCTCCTTATAAATATTTGGAGGCTGCAGTGAGGTCTCCCTGCCTCCTTCTCTTTTCCAGGCTAAACAAGCCCAATTCCTTCAGTCTGTCTTCCTAGGAGAGGTGCTTCAGCTCTCGGATCATTTTTGTTCCCACCTCTGGACCCTCTCCAAAAACTACACATCTTTTCTGCGTAGGGGGCCACAGGCCTGGATGCAGTACTCCATATGAGGCCTAACAAGGGCAGTGTAGAGGGAGACAATCACCTCCCTCATCCTGCTGGCCACCTCTCTTGTGATGCAGCCCAGGATACAGTTGAACTTGCAGGCTGCAAACTCACACTGCTGGCTCATGTTAAGTTTTTCATCTACCATGACCCCTAAGTCCTCCTCAGCAGGACTACTCTCAAGGAGTTCTTATCCCAGTCTGTATACATATCTGGGATTACCTCAACTTGAAGTGCAAAACCTTGCTCTTTGTTTTTTTGAACTCCAGTAGGTTCACATGACTACACCTTTCAAGTTTATAAAAGTCCCTGTGGATGACATCCCTTCCTTCCACTGGATCACTCAGCTTGGTGTCATTGCAAACTTGCTAAGGGTGTACTCAATCTCATAATCTGTATCATTGATAAAGATGTTAAAGAGTACTGGCTCCAAGACAGACCCCTGGGGAGCACCAGGAACACCACTCTTCACCTGCCTTCATATGGACATAGAGCCACTGACCTCAACCCTCTGGCTGTGACCTTCCAACCAATTCCTTATCCACCGAACAGTCCAACCTTCAAATCCCTCTCTCTCCAATTTAGAGATAAGGATGTAGTGAATGACCATGTCAATGGCCTTGGAGAAGTCCAGGTAGATGATATCAGTTGCTTTCCCTTTGTCCACTGATGTTATCACTCCATCCTAACATGAGCCACCAGATTGGTCAGGCACCATCTTCCCTTGGTGAAATCATGCTGGCTGTCTCGAATCACCTGCTCATCCCTCACATGCTTTAGTATGTCTTCAGAAGGATCTGTTCCATGATCTTTTCAGGCATCAGAGATGAGTCTCACCAGCCAGTAGTTCCTTGGGTTCTCCTTCCTCCCTTTCATACAAATGGCAGTGGTTTCCCTTTTTTCCATCACTGAGGACTTCTCCCAACAGTCAAGACTTCTCAAACATGATGGAGAGCAGCTAGGCAACCACATCAGCCAGTTCCTTCAGGACCCTGGGATGCATGTCATCTGGCCCCATAGACGTATCAGACTCATGAATCAGTCTTGGACTTTCTCCACCCTTACAGTGGTGAGCAGTTTGTGTCCCAGTTCCCACCAAGAGTTTAGGGGATGTGAGGTTCAGGGATGTGAGAAATATGAGAATCCTGGCAGATAGTTCCCAGAGCACCACTCCTGTCTTCTGAAATAAACAGCAAAAAAGGGTAAATTTGGGAAATAGCAGTATGTTCTAGCAACTGATAAAGAGGAGGGGAAGAGGGTGAACAATATTGTGTTTCAAACAGAAGGCAGCTGTCCTACGAAATGTTTCTAGGGTAGTTATATTTATCCCATGGTTTTCTTTGAGGTACTTGTTCTCATTAAATACCAGAAAAACGTTCACATTTGTTATCTAACATTTTCCTCCATGGCTTGTTTAATAATATATAGGTACCAAATACATTATTCAAGATACTTAATACTGGAAGAATACCAAAGCAATACAAGCTGTGCCTGATTAGTGTTTGAGTAAAAAATATAGGAAATTTGGTCAAAAGCTGGGAAAAAGCTTAGGGTTCATAAAAATTTTCATTGAGAAGAACAGTGGAATTTCCATTAATGCCTGCACCAGCTGAGGATGTTGCAAGGAACAGTAGCTCAGTAGATTGCATCTTCTAGGAGGAAAATCAAACTAACATCGGAGCTAGGCCCAGCAAATCATTTGATTTTATTGCTTCTTTTGGGAAGCTATCTAAAGATAAAGGTTAACAACTTTGTAAGTCATTTTCACTTCTTAGAAGTACTTTGTAATTGCCTGTGTGAGGTTGCACTGCCACATTTAAATATTCATAGCACACGTTTCTTGAATGCATTTGAGAATAAATTTTAGTATATTCATCTGCAATGATATTCATAAAAGTACATAAGTAATTAGGACTGCAAATCCACAGCACTGGTTTCAAATGATGACAAGGTTTTCTAATCTGCCAAGCGCTTGCCTTGCACTGATCCCACTGGGGTCAGCTTGGAAACACGCTGGTGTCTGTGGGAATGGAATTGTGCCAGTCGTGGGAACTTAAAAAAAAGCCAACCTGGAATAAACATGAAGATGTTGACAATGGCATTTCTGACACGTGAACTACAAGCATGCTTCTTGTTGCAATTTCCAGTGTACTAGGAAAACAATGTCAAAAGTTAACCATTTATTACAACTTATGGGGTAGTTTTCTTAAAAAAACACCATCTTCCGCTTGAAAGAATACAGACTGCAGAGTACACAAGAAGTTCTCAGATAGCATAAGACCAATTAACAAATTCCCCGTAACGCCAATGGTGCATTGCATATTAGGCTTATATAAGTATTTTCTTTTTGTTGTTCTGCTGTTCCTTCTGTTCTTTGTAATTAGAGTTTGAGTGGGTTGCTGATGATGGATTTAATTTTGGCATAATGCTTTGAGGTGGGTGGTGGCAGGTAACCTCCTGAGGACCCTTGAGTGACTGCTTTTCTAAGACTTTTAGTTCTCTAACTGCTTTTTATTCTGCTCTAGGGACGACCTCAAAGACATACTGATTATCCAATCAACCCAAAGAAAATTAGAAATGTGACACATGTTTAGGATGGACTTCTGAAAATTCTTACCTGACTTGCATTTTACGGGTTTGAATGGCTTCCTGCGACAGGGAAAGGTCACCACCAGTTCTCTCAATTTAAGCTATAAGTTGTTATTGTTTCTGTTTATTTCTCTTGTTATGAAATAAAATTGCAACCTTTGCAATGTAGTATATGATAGCTCAGCAAAATAATGGACGCAAATGAATACCTTAAATTCAGAGACAACAAATATGATGAGAATCTACAAGAATAAGAATGTATCATTTCAATTTCAAGAAAATCAACAAAACTCCTACCAGACCGAAATGTCCAGCTATCCACAGCGAGGTGAAGGACTGGAACTGCTGGTGATTAAGTACTTCAGAGGAACTGGTTAATAATAATACTGGTTAATGCAATACCTACTGCATTTTTAAAAAAAATGCTTACAGCTGATTATCTCAAGCTCATCGTACTTTTCAATTTATGTTCTGTAATAAAATCAAGGGGAGTTTTGACAGAAAGCAAAAATCTTAAGCTGAAAAATGTGGATTTGAAACAACTGATTTTTAAGAGCTGTTGCTTCAGTGCTTAATGTCTCTGATCTACTTGAGGCTGAGTTTGGCAGCTAAATGATGTGGATCACAGTAAAGGATGGCTGATGGTGTTCACCCTGTTGTTTCATCATGGATAGAGACGATAATGACCAGGAGAAACGCATTTTAGCTGAGCAACCCAGCCAATAAATCAGGTCCTGCAGAAGAACCTTACATATGCCTTCCCAACCTAAAAAGTACACTTTCTAGCTGGAGTGTTTTGTGTGAAATTCTGTATTTCATAAAAGAAATGCTTAAGCAATTTTAGTTTTATACAAAGGCAACTTGTCTTTTTACCCACTTAAAACATTCTGAACTATTCAGTGTTATGCATGTTAATTTTCTGCATGAACCTATGCAGGTGATCTTTGAGTAAAGACACAAAGCTGTTGAACGAAAGTACTTTCAGTGTTAATCAGTGCAGTGAAAATAAGAAATTTGAAACTTGGTCTCAGGAAAAAAAATATCATTTTGTTTGTTTAGCATTTAGGATCTCATTAAATTGTGACAGATTTTGCATTGCTGGTCATATTTCCAGTCAGTCTGTCAGAACAAGTGCTGGGACTAATTCATCTTCTGCCATATGTAATTGTATACAAAGCTCTTTCAGATTCTGGCTGCCTACACTCTTTCTGTCTTGTCTGGTTGAAGGAGGAGCTTTGAAATGCTTTCTCTTTGAATGGAATTTAGCAAAAACATGGTATGTAAATAACTATAGTGTTATACAGAGAAAATATAACTTGTGAAAATGTAAGTATTTGTGGAATATCTGCGTTTTTTCTTTGAATAACCATGCATTGGGAGAAAGATCTGCCTTATTCTGGTATGAGAATTGGTACTGCTGACATCTCCTAGTTGATAATGCAGCTCAATGCAACCTGAAAACCAATAAAAATCCACTTTATTAAGAAATGTCCACTGCACAAGGCAGATAGGCTGAGGGAAACATCAGCCTGTGCCTTTGGGTAAAACCATGGACCTTTGGCTTTCTGAGCACATACATGGTTAGCAAGCCTACTCTCATGAGGAGAGTAACCTTGCAGTACAAAAATGAAAACTGGTCAGAAGCATTTGTTTCCTTGCAGAAAATGTGTATTAATCAGAATGCATTTTGAAAATAAATCAAACCGTACTGTGTTGTTTATCTCAGAACCCTTGCTCTCAAGCTTAGCATTGTTATTATTTGGTATCACTGTCCTTGAACCAAAGGAAACCTTTTCTCCATTTAATCTGTATCCTTCCACATTAATTTAAAAAAAAAAAAAAAAGTGTTCATGTTGAGGACAAGGACAGGACCTAAAAGAGGAAATCCTGTGCTACCCAAATTGATTTTTAGCCTGTGGTTGGGCCAAATTTCCTGCACTGACTGCATAAGCCTATGACCAGAATGAGCAAAGGGTTTTTTTACAAAAATATGCCACATTCATGGAAATATGCCTGGTAACCAGAGTCTGGAGCAGTTTTCCTTCCTGACAGCTACAAGAATGCATCCCATGTGGCTGTGGTTTATTTTCTGCAGAATTACCATGAGGTTAAAATTCTTATAGTGTCCCTGAAATTTATAGTTGGGTGCATTTGTATGCTTATAGATTTGTTTTCTTCAGGCATGTTATACAGCCTGTATATCATCTCCAGTACTAGCTGTTAGTTATGTTTGCAAATAGAGCTCTGCAAACAACAATGCATAAAATAGAGACAATTTTTAGCACTCAGGGAAAATAAAATATGCAGGCACTTTCAGAAGACAGAGTAGGCTAAAAATATTGAATTTCAGGCAGTTTATGGAGACACCAATCTTTTGTACACTTGCATGTTGATTTATAATTACGACTTGGGGGACATTTTAGTAATCTAGAAGTATCTATTTTTTTTATTGCTTACAGACCGTGCAGTTTGATTATATACAACCCTTCCATGTTCCCTTACGTAGTGTTCTGATTGGAATTCCGTACATGTGTATGTGGGAAAAAATACACTGGAGATATCCAGTACTTCATTCTGCAGTAAGGTTTCCTAAAGTTGTGCCTATACAGTTTTATATTTCAGAGAGAATTCAGGCTACCTGAAGAGAAGACCATCTAAAAATAACACTGACTCCACATGAAGCTTTCTTTTTCTAACAAAAAAGCACCTCATGGGGGCTAAGCAGACTCAACAGATACGCTCTTAGCAAAGGGTACTCACAGTGTTGACTAAACACTTGGTTTCATACCGATCGGATTAAATAGAATTGCTATTTTTGATATTTGCTTGGTAGTATATGTAATATGTACTGTTGCTAACCTACAGTAGATCACTTTCAATCTAGTATGTGGGCATTCCCAATGGCAGAGGAGGGTACTCCTTGCTTACCAGTCAACCAGCCTCACTATGTCCTTCTTCGGAAATATGCTCCATGAGGCAGGAAGGACACAGCTTCCTACAAGATTCCTCTGCAGAAGCTTCTCTGAAACCAGAGCATGGTTCCCTGGAAGCGTTGCAGATATCTTATTCCCCTGTCCGTCCAAAGTAGGCCCACACCCTAATTATCCCTCTCAGAATTTCTCAAAACCCCACATCTGTATTCTCCGAAACACAGTAAAATTAATCCAGCAGCCTCATAGTAGCTATACAAATAAAATTAAGCAATCTGTGTGCTCCTGAATGGTCCCATATAGTCAGACTGTAACTGGAAGAGAACCCTGGCTGCCAATATGGGAACACCTTTGCATCTTAGTACTCTTTACCAGATCAGACTCCAAAAGCCTCTGCTAAAGAACAGGCCGAGACCAGGAATTCATAAAGCCCCTGATACGGAGGTGCATGCTCTCAGTAGATGTGACTGTCATGATTAATCTCTCCTCCTACTCACCATGAACCACTCTTGTTCCCCAGGCTATGAACTAGCTGTCTCTTTTTCCCCCATGTGATAAGTAGCTTTGTTTAACTTTTTAAACTTCCTTTGTCTCTCACTTTCCTTTCTTTTTACCATCCTTATTTTTTTTCTATTATGGAGTATCTTTTCTTTAAACAAAGGGCTAATTGATACATATCCAATTAACATCTGAGCATTTGTTCTCAGCTTGTATTTAGCTTTGCAAATTGCTGCTTCTATTTCAGACCTGAGGAAGGGCTTGTATGTCAGAAAATTTGTCTAACATTTCCAGCAATGCCAGCTGATCCAATAAAGCATACAACCTCTACCTGCAGACTTTGACCTGCCCACGCGCTCATATTGACGCTTGCCTACTTCAGTCATCCCACTCACTGGAACGTCAGGAGGACACTATGCAAATTTAAGCTGACCTTTCTAAATTGCTGTTGGGAAAAAGCGAAGATGTAACTAAGGGGATGATTTCCACCTTGACAGTTAAAGACAGGAAGTCGCTCATCTCTTAAACTCACCAAGGTGATGGAAAAAACTGAACGCATGAAAGAGTCTGAGCTGGCTTGTCACATACTTAGCCCCTCCAAACCCAAATTTACACGTAACCACTTAGAGAAAGAACACAGTAATTTCACTGAGAGGGTGGTGAGGCACTGGCACAGCTGCCCAGAGAAGCTGTGGTGCCCCATCCCTGGAGGCCCTCAAGGCCAGGTTGGATGGGGTCCTGGGCATCCTGAGCTGGTGGGGGGCAGCCCTGCCCAGGGCAGGGGTTGGGGTGGGTGGGCTTTGAGCTCCCTTCCAACCCAAACCATTCTATGAATACTAACCCAACATGGAAACAAATCATGTCAATAAAGAGGAAATTAAACAAAATGTTACTGATGGAGGGAGAAACTAAGCCAGGCCCACGCTTGCATGTCTGCATCAAACATCATGATGACAGAAAATTAGCCACACTGTTGTAAAGATGGAATGTGATAGGAATGCTGTGCACTGTGGCAGTCTGCAGCTCCAAACAGAACTGTCCTTCTGCCCTGGAGATTTCCCATAGCCCTCCCTCCCCTGCTCTCCGTTCTTTGGGAGATGTGGGTTGCTAACAGCACCTTTATGTGATCTGAAAAACCACTGATCATTTACACTAGATCAGTACTGATATTCATTTAAATGAGAGTGGATACCTGCAGGCACAAACGCTATAGAACAGAATATTCATTTTCAGTTCAGAGAGGCTTTCGGCATTAGCTCTCACAGCAGAACTCACGTCACACAGATTATATTTATATTGTTTATTTGCTACTGTGATATGATTACTCTCCCAAATAAGAGATTACATTAAGTGCTTTTCTGAAATCATGTTCCAGCAAAACACTGTTTTTGTTTTGGGGAAAGAATGCCAAAATCCAGGGAAAACAATACAGAGATGTTTTAATTAGAGAAGCCAACCAGATCTATATTTGCTCTGCCTCCATCTCATTAGCTTCTCCTCATGAAAGGCCCAGTGGCTGCTCTGATCTTGTGCCAGATCCTCTGTACTATTGATCTCCTCAGTTCCAGTGTCCTCTCAGCTGACTGCTGAAGCAAGTAGTCTTCATGAGGTTAGCCCAACCGAACTGAAAAGGTGGTGGAGCAGCAGCTCCTGTTTGAAATCATAGAATGAGTTGGCTAGGAAGTGACTTCAAAAATAATCAATTTCCAGCCCCTTGCTGTGGGCAGGGCTCCTGACCACTAAATCAGGCACTAGATCAGGCTGCCCAAGGCCGTATCCAAATAGCCTTATGGGTTTCGCCAAATGGAGAAGCTGGGCATTTACTCACTGTCTCACACAGTGCACGAACAGTCTGCCACGTGCTCATGGAGTCAGGATATTTGTCTGCATTAATCCGTGCTCACCGAGCAGCCTGTGCATGTCAGTACAGCCACTCACTCCTGTCACGCCATGGTGCTGCCTCTAAACAGATGCCTGAAGAAAATTGCTCCTGTCAGAAACCTCACCAGTGCAGCCTCTCCTGCTCAGTTTCCACAGTGAAGTGACCTCTGGTGATCCATATGTAAGCTGTACCACTGCAAATAATGATTTATTTCCCTCCAGAAAAGTCTTTTTTCCCTCCTTATTTGCAGATTTTTCTTTTCTCTGTCTCTGCCCTCGGTTTGGTGTCACCTCTCACAGAGTTACATGTTCAATTAGGACTCCCACGCCTCGGAGTGGGTGCCCATGTTCCTCAAGTGGCTGTGAAGCACTGCGAGAGCCACATGGCACTGTGGGAACAACAAAGACAGACATCTGTATTCCCTTAGCATCAACAGCCAAACTGCTGACAGATTTTGCCCTGCATTGCAGGTGCTCTTCAATTATTGCAATGAACCCAATCAACAATAATTGATGAAGACTTTCTAATGAATATTGGGAAAATCATTCAGCATACTCAAGGAGGTTTCCTTTCTTCTCTTGCTACACTGAGCAGCTTCATAGCTAATTGCTTACAAAGCCTTAGTTTCCTTCATTGCAATTCCTTTAACAGGGCAGAGGTAGAAACAATTAAAGTCAGGCGGGTGATTATGAAGATGTTGCTCTACGATGGAAACTGTAAGAAGAGCCATGAGCAATGGTTACTGACGGTACATGACTAAAGTCACTCTGCTTCTAAAGGATAACTTTGCAGTTGCCTCAGATACGCTGTGCAGACACCTCCGTCCTTTGTGCCCTTTGTAGCTGCATACTGGCCAAAGCAACAGCGGGCAGGGAGTAACAGCGCATGCCACCTCCCAAGCCCTGTGTTCAGTCTGCCAGGGGAGTGCAGCTCCCAGACATGCTCATGGGTCATTGACTACATCAGTTCTAAACAACAT